TTATTTACATAACAAATAACTAACTAACACTCCCCCTCAAGCCGGTGCATATAAATCATATGTACCGAGCTTGTTACATATATAACTAATACAAGGACCAGTGAGAGACTTGGTGAAAATATCTGCAAGCTGATCATTCGACTCCACAAACTTTGTAGCAATATCTTCTTAGAGTATCTTTTCTCTGACGATGTTATAGGAAATAGGAGTATGTTATGGTGTTATGTATACATAATTACATATAAATAGGGCTCATCGTAACATACAATAATAATCAATAATATTTTCTCCCGTGCTTTCTCACAGGTTTTACTTCCGCAACACGCAGAAAACCCCCTGTCCTGTTGCCATTATTGTTATCCACACCCAATCTGTGAAAGCTTGTCATAACATAAGCACTTGAAACGGTGTCTTCCCGAAACAATTGTTTTCCCCGGGAAAATATTGATGTGTGCTTTTATGTTTGTAACCTCCTGTAAATTGGTTGTAAGGAACTGTATTTGCTGCAATAGAAGATTTTAGCAACTGTTGCTATTTCACGTTTCAGGATACAATATAAATAATTTGGTTCGAGAAGGCCGTTTTAGGTGGTTGAGACCTGCAGAAGTTCTCTTTATACTACAGAATCATGAGGACCAGCAACTTGCTAATCAACCGCCCCAAAAGCCAGCTAGTAGTCTCCTTGCTCTTTAACTTTTTGTTTCGCTTTCAGTAAGATGTAAAATATCTATTCACAAGATTGATCAATTAAAAAAACATATCTAGTGATAATCCTCTTACAGAACCATGTCATATTATCCTCTCTTCCCTTTGCTCTCTTACAAAATTGGTTGCTATCAACAGGTGGATCTATGTTTCTCTTTAACAAGAGGGTCCTTAGGTACTTCCGTAAAGATGGTCATAGTTGGCGCAAGAAGAAGGATGGAAGAACTGTAGGAGAGGCACATGAGCGGCTTAAGGTAACAATTGGTAGAAAGCGTCATGTTTATTCATTATTGAACAACACAAATGACATTTTTGTCTAAACATTTGTTATTTATTTCACGTGGAGGGAGGTGTTAGTCATCCCGGCTGGGGACATTTTTGTTGGTTGACTCTCGAAATGGCATCTTGAAAAAAAAAGGGGGAAAAAAAGCCTATGATGTTCATGTTTCAGTTTTCCCGATATTTTTCATTGGATGAGAAGTTCTCTGTCTCTGCTGTGGCTAGGTTGGGAATGCTGAAACCCTAAATTGTTATTATGCACATGGAGAGAAGAATCCTAACTTCCAGCGGCGAAGCTATTGGATGTTGGATCCGTGAGTTTACTTGCTAAATCTGTAATCTAGTCTTTTGCTTCAAGATTTAGAGCAGTTTAAGAAAGAAGTTCTAAACTCCTTAGGAGTTTAGGGCACTGAATGGATAAGGAGCACACATGAGAAATTTAACTAAAATTCTAGGGCTCCCTTTTCTTTCATCTCTGTCGCTCTCTCAGACCAAAGTTAGGACCAGGAACTGATTATATTTTCCCCTTGTTTGTTCTCAATTTTGCATGCTTGACAGTGCATACGAGCACATTGTCCTGGTTCACTACAGAGATATAACTGAGGTCAGTCTTCTGGTACCCAATCGTACAAATATCCCATATCCTGACATGAAATCTTGCTACTAATTTAACTCTATTTTCGTCAAGTCATCCATGAAAAGATTCCTGCTTTTTAAGTTTTTCTATCTTAGTCCAATCATCGTCTCTTTTTGATTGTTTCTGTAATTTTTCATGTAAAAGCAGCTAAAAAATTGATACTGGACTAGAGAAGTTTCTATAATTGGTTTCAGCATTTAATGCTATATCAGGGAACTTAATATTTGCTTGGTGCATCTTTATCAAGCAGTTTATTAGCTACAGTTTGAATACGTTGGGATCTAGTATGTCAAGCTATTTAAGCAATCTTAACAGCACTAGTTTCACTTATGACCCTAGGGGATGCAGATTGCAGCATTCATGTCACAGTCATCTCCAATTTCCTCTACTTTCTCTCTGAGTCCCAGCTTATATTCTACTCAACATCCAGGCTTTACTGTTGTTGGTAGTGAATCTTATCAACAGTACCAGAACGAATCTAGCCCTGGATCTGGGGAAATTTGTTCTGGTGCAGGCATCAATAGTAATGGGATGAACATCTCAGACATCACCGGGAGAACGGAGGGGGTGAGCAGCTCACCACAGGTTGAGATAAGTCAAGCATTGCGTAAACTTGAGGAGCAGTTAAGTTTAAATGAAACTGATCCACTATATAGTGAAATTGAGAACTCAGATGATGTTGAAAATTTTGGACATGATAATAGTTCACTAGTTCAGATCCAGCACAAGTCAAACAATCTTCTGTTGCAGCCTTATTCAGGTTTCTTTCATTTTTTCGTGCCACAAGATTATTATTAAATGCAGATATACATGCTTAGCATTTGTCACTGCATTAAACTCCTGTTTTAATCATGCAACCTGAAACTCAGAGATTTTCTTCTTTCCTTGTACTTTGTTGGGAACAAGGTGGTTATTTTGTCAATTTGATTAGTGCACTTGGCTATTTGTGCTTAGACTTGAAAATGTTATTACTCGATACTCGGTTGATATCTTTTGTTTGAATGCTAGTCCTTTTGATAGCTTGTTTGAGAAAGAAGTATCTACAATAGAATTCTTCTACCTTTTGTTTTCACTAATCATCAAGCTCGGTTGAATGTTGATTGATAACTGGGCTTCTGCTAGCTCAGTCATGAGTTAGATAAACTGAGGCCATTTAGGCCTTTCATAGCTTGTTCTTCCCTGAATGGCAAAATTTTATTTTCAACACGTAACTAGTTATAATTTTTTTATAAGGTGCAAATCGAAGAAGAGTGCCTTTTTTTCCCCAAAGTTTTGATTTGCTTTAAGTTCAAATAATTCTTTTAAGTGAACCCTTTTTGGGTTACTAGTTTTAGCTTACGCGTTGCACTCACAATATGTGTCTTTTTTAAATTGTGCTTGAGTTATAAAATAAAAGTGTAAGATATGTAGATGTAGATAAATAAGTTAAGAATTTTTAACTGGTGATTTTTCCACTTTGATAGAATCTAACTGGTGATTTTTTCCACTTGGACATTTACTACCATGCCTGAGATTCTCTATCTGCCTTTTCTTGAGCACCAATGCTTCTGATTTAGAAGCAAGAAATACTAAGAACTCGTGCATTTCTAATTTAGAAGCAACAAATACTGAGGAGTACTGATGATAGTGTTCTTTGTAGGAGAGAGCAGTGAATCACAGCATCAACTCTTGAACCTGGATGGTGACATATGGAAAGAGATGCTGGATCACTGCAGAAGCTTTCCGGCTGCCGAGTCACAAGACAAATGTTTTGAAAAGTTGGATGAGAATGTGAGGAAGTGTCTTTGAAATTAATTTTTGTTTCATATGCCTGTATCTTTTATTGGCATGGTCTTTTGCACCTGCATCTGATTAGGACTATTGAGTCCTTGCTGACTTGTCACTGCGGCTGAAGCTGTGTATGAATAGCAGTTTGTGCACAAAATGGCACTATATAACCATACTTGACCTTATCTCCAGGCGTTTCTAAATAATTCTGCTGCCCCTTATAACCACTTATTCAGTTATTTATTTCAACATTGGCTCTATTCTCCGTCTTCCGCCTAACTTGTCTGCGCTCACTCAGGGAACGCTACAAACCTTGTCAGGAATGGGACCCATAGAAGTTACCGAAAGTGATAGGTGGCTTAAATTTGGTGGAAAAGAAGCTCTGAAATGTGAGCTCCTTTTGAAAATCCAGATGATTAGTTATATCTACTACATATAAAATCTTGTGCAGTTTCTTGATCTCAGAAAAAAACCCCTGTTGCTTTGCAGCTTCTTTGACAAATTTTAAGCAAGTTGAAGATTTCAAGTATCCCGCATGTGCAAGAATAAATACTTATGGATCCTATTCTGACCAATATACAACAATATTTGACCAAGATCTGATTGGAACTTCATTTGAAGATGATATGAGCTTAACCATTGCCCAGAAGCAGAAATTTACTTTTCATGATATATCTCCTGATTGGGGGTATTCATCTGAGGCAACAAAGGTATATCTCATGATTTAGTTGTCTTTGCGCGGTTATTGTTGAACATTTCTACTGCCCATTTTTTGTGGTGGTTGTTGAATATTTCTTTTCAGCTTGCGCAATTAATTTTGACGTTGCAACTGACTGCTTACATATGTTTTTAGCATCAAAATTTAGTTTCAGTTTTTTATGCTCTAACTCTTGAAGTGGAGGAGTTGTTTCCAGCAAGCTAATACCATAATCACTGCCAACAAGCTTCTTATACATATTTCTTACAGAAGTTTGATAAATTCTTGTGAAGAAATCCAGTTCTGTCATAATTTGCATTTGACAGTCATGGCTGATTGGATAATACAAACATATAGTGCTTGCCCCCCCCC